ATGCCATTTCAGAATAAGAGGGCACTATCCAGGTGGCTCGACTAAGTTCGGCGATTTTCAACTTGGAATAAGGCTAATTAGACTTCCAGGCGATGTGTGACCTTGCTGGAAATTGGGCTCAACGGCTTGAGCAAGTTTCTATGCTATCAATCTGGATTGATTATAATTTTCACTTCAGAGCGTCTACCTCGCAGACCAAAAGGTAATGAGGAGTCCAGTTCGGATAGATCATACCCACAACTCTTTGAGTCTCAATCAGTTTGCATCTCATCCATGTGAATTCTCTGTCCTCAGGTAAAGTGGACAGGTAAATGATTGCTATCAACTACCGTGCACATTTTATGGCTTTTTATCACAGTCCGTCTCACTACTAATTAAAATTGGTGTACAAACCGGCCCTCGATGTAACAAATAGCTTCTCGCGTGAAACTGTTAGGCCTTACTATGTTATACAACCAGGCTTCTGTAATACGACAGCACTGTCTTGGAGTGAAGCTTTACCTAGAACATGACTGAAACGTGCTTCAGACCCAGACCTCACTTTTAAAGCAGACTGGTGCCCCCATCAGCTAGCTATAATTCACTCCAGTCTTACTCTCATGCACGACTTTACATTGGTTCTGTATTCTGCTGGAGCCTGACTCGATGCGCGCATTGCTCAATATAGGAGCCTTAGGCGTGCTCCCGCTGTTGTGTACTGGCCATCCACACCAGAAGCCAGTCCGGAGTCTCGTGGATCTCGACCACTTCCGCTTGACACCAAGAGCCACATACGTGGACTCCCCCACTATCAGTAGCCTCGCATCGCAGTATCCCTCTGCTGGAAAAGAAGACTATGTCGAAACAGCTACAAGACTTGTCCGAAGCATCTCGCCGGGAACGAGCTTTCGAATCATCGACAACCATTATACTGGGGACAATGGAGTCGGGCATGTGTACTTTCGCCAGACCCTGCATGAAATCGACATCGAGAATGCCGATTTTAATGTGAACGTAAGACAATCTAACTCCTTATCTGAGAGAATGTACTCATGCCTTCAGATTGGCGAAAACGGAGAGATCTTTTCCTATGGCAGCTCCTTCTTTGCAGGCGACTTCCCACCGAGCGATCCGATAGCACAGTCGAACCTCTCAGACCCGATTCTTGCTCTCCAACGAGTAGTGGACATGTTGCATCTTCCTGTCACAGTTGACACAGTCAGAAAGAAATCCGCCACATCAAACAGCACCTACATCCTCGAAGGAACCGCAGGCGCAGTCTCAGATCCAACCGCCAACCTCGTGTACCTAGTCACCCCAAACAACACGCTCACCTTGACCTGGCGAGTTGAGACAGACGTTGACGATCACTGGCTCATCACATACATCGACGCAGTAACCAGCAACACGATTCACGGGGTAATCGACTACGTTTCCGAGGCATCATACCAAGTCTAGTGAGTCGGGATCCCAACGCTCACATCAACCGCCATTCTCTCAGCCCAGCACTAACTCTCTCCATTCAGCCCATGGGGCACCAACGACCCCACAGACGGCACACGCATCATAGTCACCAACCCCTGGGACCTCGCTGCCTCCCCTTACACCTGGCACAGTGACGGGCTAGTCAACTACACCAGCACGCGCGGCAACAACGCGATCGCGCAGTGGAATCCCAGCGGCGGGCGGCCGTACCGCAACAACTACCGGCCCTCGTCGCCGACGCTCGAATTCCACTATCCCTATGCCCCGAACCAGACCTACCCAGCCGCCTACCTCAACGCCTCCATCACGCAGCTCTTCTACACCGTCAACGCCTACCACGACCTGCTGTACCAGCTGGGCTTCACCGAAGCCGCCGGCAACTTCGAGTTCAACAACGGCGGCCGCGGCGGCCGGTCCCACGACTACGTGATCCTCAACGCGCAGGACGGCTCCGGCACCGACAACGCCAACTTCGCCGCGCCGCCCGACGGCATCCCCGGCCGCATGAGCATGTTCCTGTGGGTGGAGCCGGGGTCCGCGACGGACGTCATCCGGGATGGGAGCTTCGACACCGGGATTGTGATCCACGAGTATACCCATGGTTGTACGTACCGAACAACCTCTATTATACCCAATCCACCCTACGCCGCCCTATACCAGCTTGGAAAATGCTAACCGCCAGGAAAAAGTGTCAACCCGGCTGACCGGCGGCCCCCACAACGCCGGCTGCCTCAGCACCCTCGAGTCCGCCGGCATGGGCGAAGGCTGGGGCGACTTCATGGCCACCGCCATCCGCGTGAAGCCGGGGGCCTCGCGCAACACCTCGTACGCGGTGGGCGCCTGGGCGCAGGCCTCCAAGGCCGGGGTGCGCGCGTACTCGTACTCGACCTCGCTGCGCGAGAACCCGCTGCTGTATACGGATGTCAACGAGTTCGAGGGCGTGCACGCCATCGGGACGGTGTGGGCCAGTATGCTGTATGAGGTGATGTGGAATCTGATGGATCGATATGGGGTGAGTAGCAGTGAGGGTACGGGTTTGGAGGTCAGTGGTGCTGGTAGTCATCGTCGTGGTGGTTTCAGCAAAGAGGTGAAGGAGATGGATGGGCGGTATTTGAGTTTGAAATTGGTGGTGGATGGGATGGCTTTGTGAGTTATCCCCCATGTTTGTTTTGCTATTTTGGGGCTGGTGGAAGGAGAGGTAGAGCTGACTGAGTGCAGACAACCATGTAATCCGACCTTCGTGCAGGCTCGTGACGCGATTTTGGACGCAGATGTGGCGCTTACTGGGGGCAAGAATCGGTGCGAGATTTGGAAGGGATTTGCGAAGAGAGGGTTGGGGTCCGGGGCGAGGTTTCGTCGGTTTAGGAGGGTGGGAAGTACGACTATTCCGCCGGGGGTGTGTCAGGATTGAAGGAGGTGAACAAGCGTGAGTTGAGATGTTTCATCTTATAAGTGGAGTCTACAATCAAACTATATCGCGCTATAGTCGACTTGTTCGTGGCATGTAGTTCACAGTACCAACCCAAATAGCAGGTAGACGACGATCATACCACGGCGAAGAACGCCCGGCTCTGCATCACCCTCGCCACCAACAGCAGCAGACTCCCCACCAGAAGACTCACGCCCGAAAAAATGGACAACGATAAGTATCCGTATCCCTGCGCAAGCTCTCCACTAATTGGGATCCCAGCCATAGCACTGTGCGTCATTTCGAATTAGCCATCATAACCGACAAACCCCTTGAGAGGGAATAGACATCCTTACGAAAGAGATGCAGCAGCCATCACAACCCCGACCGCAAGACCAACACTCTTCGGCGTCGCCAGCTGCAGCGCACATGCCTGTTGGAGCGACAAAATAGCCTATAAGATAGTTTCTCATTAGTCGCTTGTGTCCCAGTGTTCACGTTAGAGGTCTGCCTACCCCGGAGGAAAACCCATAAGCAGCCGAAAAGATCACCAGGCCCGCCACGGACGTAACTTTCGTCCAGCACAAGGCAATTATCCCGGAGGTAAACGTAGCCACGAAGCAGCAGTTGAAGCGCCCGTATCGGTCCGCCAGGATCCCCGGTAGAATCCGGCCGAACAGCGAGGCGCCGTTGATGATGGAGATGGTGTAGAAGGCGAGATCGGCGGAGAAGCCCTGCGCGACGGCGTAGGAGGTTGTGTAGAAGAAGGGGGAGAACATGCCGAAGTAGATCATGAAGAAGGCGAGGCAGGTCAGGTGCATGGTGGGATTCTTGAGCATTGGGGGGATTTGGTGTGAAGGGGGTTTCTGGAACTGTTGCTCTTGAGGGATGATCGGGCTGCTAGACTTTTCAGTATCGAGGGGCGCTGAGGATTGTGTTTGAGAAGTGGTGGTGGTTGGTAAGGGAGGATGCGCTGGGGTCCGGCAGCAGAGACAGGAGACCGTCAGAAGAGGGATCATGATGAATGCGACGATACGCATAGTCCATCCGAAGCCGATCCGGGGATTTTGGAGGAGGTTGTTGACTGCAATGGGCCAGATGACACCGCCGAGGGAGGAGCCGGAGATGACAATCCCCACTGCTGCACCCCGATTGACCTTGATGTGCTGGCCGACGAGGGCTATCATGGGGCACGTGAGGAGTGATTGGGAGATTCCGAGGAGGATTCCTTGGGCGAGGATGAATTGGTAGAGCTCTTTGCAGAGAGAGGTCATCATGAGCGAGAAGACGGTTCCAAAGGATCCTATGCAAAGGAGGATCTGCTCGCAAGTCAGCCGGGGTTTGGCAGGTGGTCTGGCGCAGAAAGACGTACTCTTGGTCCAATTGTGTCAAGTAATGGACCCGAAACGAGTGAGACAGAGAAGATAAAGAATACGGCCAGCGCTCCGATCCAGGCGATGGTGGACTGGGACTCGTCTGCCAGCTGGGCTTTCGAGTAGTACTCTTCGAACAAGCCAAACGAGTTCACGAAGCCGACTGTGCAGAAGACACCAGTGAAAGATCCTAGAAGCATGAGACATGCTCGTGGTCTGAGTCTGTCAGCTTGCTCGGGGTTCTTGATTGATGCCAGGAGAGACTCACGTGTATTCGCTCTGGGGCTTTGAAGGTTGATCGGAGTTACCCATTGTGGAAGGTCAATCGGCTTCTGCTGATTGTGGTGGATGCTTTGATAGGAGCTTGAGTGGACTCATCGGTACAGAAGGCATTTTGCATGCTTTTATAGAACTAAAAGAGCAACAGTGATAAGTAAAAGCTTGCTCCGTCCGGAGTGTCCGAGGGTGTGTGGATCGTGATTGTGTGCTGGCGCAGTTGTCTGTAGCTAAAGTACATTGAGCTGACCTTCAGCAAAGATGCTGGATGGTCCGCTCCAACGCCCGGACCCTCCGCGGAGTCTCCGAGCGGAAGCCGCCTGCCTCCCAACCTCCTGTTGCCAACTACACTTCCGCTGTGAGCCATCTACTCACCGAAATGCTTCAGGCTCTGATGGTTGTCAATTGAATGATCTCTTAACCTGTGACTTGCTTGTCGTGTGACGCAATTTGAGTCGGACCTAACAGATAACCTCAGCATGAAGCGAAAGGCCGCACCAGAACCTTCCATTCTTCAGCCGAAGCGAACACCTCGCCAGGATCCTGTCTCCTGTGAATCATGCAGGACAAAGAAAATTAAATGTGATCGACAGCAACCCTGTGCGAGTTGTTCTCTTCGCAGATTGACCTGCAGATATGAACGATCTGGGGCTATCGCGAGAGACAGCAGTACCCGAAATACCCAGGCATCAGGACATGATGGCTCTGTGCTCACCCAAAGCTCGCAAGACAAGCATATTCTCTCACCTACAAAGACTTTAGCCTCGAAGAATAACAGGGAGTTGATGCAAACAGCCGACTGGCTTGAAAATATTCACATGGCGGCGAGGATTCCAACGGCCACTCCAGACTGGCTGCGCGACGGGCTGCGTGATTCTCGAAGGACTGGTAACTCAATCTCAACTCCTGAAGCTGGTCCCTCCATATCCTCGCTCGCATTTATTTATAAGGGCCAGTCTGCTTCCAAAGAAAACCCAGCAACGATAAACCTGAAGACATACCTCCCTGATAGAGTCCAGGCAATGACCCTGTTTCAATACTATGTCGACTACGTCGGGCCCTTGTACTATATTATCATTCCAAGTCGCGTCAAATCCCAAATCAGTGATATATATCACTCCGTTGAAGTTGGATCACCGGTCATTCTAGATCATCTGGCTTTACTCTTCAGCATCATGGCAAGCTCTCTTTATCTGCAATTGTCCCTAGAGACTTCTGCCGATGCAGAGGCTTGCAGTCGCGAGTTCTCATACCTGACTGGTGCGGCCCTGATTCAGAGCAATTATACCGTGTCTCCCACGATAGAAGGGCTGCAAGCGACCATGATTGTCATGCACAATCTCTACGCCTGGAATATACAACCAACCGTCAGCGGACTTTTCGCGCTGGGGTCAATTATTAGTCAGGCTAAAATCCTGATGCTCCATTGCGTTGATTCGCCCCGAATCCGGGAGGAACGAGAAGCCAAAGGTCATGACTGTTTAGAAGTAGAACTCAAAAGACGGCTATGGTGGGACTTGGTATCCTATGACTGGTAAGTGTCACTGAATCTGTGACGAGCATAACTGAATCGCTGATAATTTTGAGGCTCCTTGGCAATCTAACTGGCCCTCAAGAATGGACATATTCGATCCACCAGGATCATATGAATGTTCAAGAACCTTCAAATATTGACGACGAGCTCATAGAGAAGGAAGGTGCTGTAACTTCACTGCCCAGCTGCATACCTACAGACATGTCCTACGCGCTCCAGCGCCTTAAGCTGGCAGTTTTATGCCGCGAAATCATTGACGCAACGTCATACGATCACCTTCATGGTCTAGAGCTAGACTACAGCAAGATCCTTGAGCTGGATTGCAAGTTCCATCAGCTGATCTCAGAGATCCCAGAATTCTTCCGCCTCGATCCGGGCTCCCAGCGCCGATTTGAATCAACATACAAAGAGCGACCGGCCATTGCATGGCAGAGGTATGTTCTGCAGCAAGGCTACTTCTCTCGGCTATGCCGATTGCACCGGCATCACTTCATCCGTGGCGCGCGTGACCCCGCATTTGCGTGGTCTCATATCATCGGCCTCCAATCTGCTCGAAAAGTAATCGAAATCAGGAAGATTCTAGACAAAGGCGACCTCGGCTATAACCCGCCCGTCTCAGTGGTTTGGTCTGTCACTCACCATGTGTTCATGGCTGCCGTGATTCTCTTGATGGATGCTTGCTTCAACTGGGATGATATTCTGGCTGAAAGAAGGAAGGAGGAAGTGCTTGACGCCTGCCGCATGCTAAGCAAGGCACACGAGTCGTCTTCACTGGTACGAGAAGGGATAGACGCGATGATGCGCGTACTACGGAAACATTGGAAGACCAGCAATCAATCATTCGCCGCACAACAAGCCGAGGTCAATTCATCCGATGCGCCGCTTGGACCTCGAATAGTCAAGGAACAGCGCATCAATCCAATCACGACGGGTATTTACAATACACCATCCACGGCGATCGACGGGCATGATGATGAAACAATAGGAACCGCTTCCAGAAGCTTGCCTATTGATAGGCAATTTGAAGACATTTGGTCAGAAATGCTGGAAAGCGGTAACAATCTAACGCTAGAGTCTGCGGACTGGACGGATTTACTTGATGAGCTGACGGATACCAGCCTGCCTGGCAATCGTCCTTTGGCTCTTGGCTGATGATGATTTGTGGATGAGGGAAAGAGGAGTTGCCACCTTTTTGATAACCCTTTTTCGGAGTCTTTTGCCGCATAGGACATGTCAGAATCTTGCACGTAAGTTACAATTCTCCCAAGGCATATTTCATGGTTTGACACCTGAAACTCAAGTACTTGATTTAAGGTTATGCACAAATATCGAAATGGCTATCAGTCATTCCGCTAGTCTTCAACTGTCACATCGACCTTACTAGTGTCTTAACCGGGACAATCCATCAGCTCCGAACCCCTAAGTTAATGCGGTGAACTCACAGAAAGCCACATGATCCTTGATATTCAGGGCAGCATCGTATGGCTTGGCATAATACCACGCTGCGTTGGGATATGTTTTTTCTGCACGTTGTGCGATGTCAGCCATTATTCCTGGAAAACAGAGCAGGAGCAGGGCTCTGATGACAGACCTCCCACTACAACGGAATAATACGAAGCATGTCCTTTCCATGGACAGAACGTTGACAGATCAGTCGGGACAAAGAGAGATTCATTCTTGATTGCTGAAAGAGGAAACTACTGGATGTGAGCTTAGCAAAACAAACTGACCAGGACTTGCGGCATTTACATAAATGTTGCCTTCGACCGTTTCCCACGTTGCGGTCTCAGCAAGGACGGTGTCGTCAACGATAGCCTTCGCGACAGGCATGATGAGTTCTTATATTACTTATCCTTCGGACGAGAGAAGAGGAAGGAAAAAATGTTGGAAAGACTACGAAGTTGACATTGTTCAACTAAGATTATGATTACAAACTGGAGGCACGTGAGTGCGGGGAAACCGGCATACAATAATATCATCGATAAGGATCTATCCGTCTACACGTGGACGACTGGACGTTCCAGGCTACATGATATTACTCTTTAGTCTGTGTTTCTGTCCAAAATCTGCCCGCCTCCTTCATATCTCTCAAACCTTCGAAGTCCCAATTGTTGATGTCATAGCCATCAATCTCGTAAGGCCATCCGACATGATCAAAATCCACGGCGGGGGGATTCCAAGGCCAATGGTGATTCCAGGCCGAATCTATGCGGGTTTCACCGAGCAGCAGTCCTGGATCTGCGACGATTTGCTCCAAAGTCTCCACCAGCCGATCTCCATATAACGAGCAGGCATGTGCCGCAGGTTGATCCACAAGGTACAACCGGTCATAAGTTCGTTTGACACATTGCTTTCCCTGGTGAACCAGTCGCACAAGCTTCGAGGGGGACATTTCAGTGCACAGCGGATATCGCGCGAGGCGCAGGATCTTCCGCCACATTAGGGTCCGCTGGTCGCCCTTCGGATCGGCCATGTTATAGAAGCCTCGGACGCGTTGAATCTCGTCCCGCAGCGCCACGCGCATTTCCCGCAACATACTGCCTCTAGCCACGTTGATCTTCTCATAGATCGGAAGCGGTAGCACGGCATCGGCAGGCGGTACCATGTGCGGATGTTCCTTGATCAGCGAGCCCGTGGCTCGCTTGAAGCCGTCGCGCACGTTGAATACCCACATGATGTACAGCATCCAGTCGATGACCTGCGCATCGGACGGCTCCGGGTCGCCGGGCCAGATGTTCTCCACCCATGTTGTAACGACCGGCATCACGGGCCTAAACAGATGAAACTTGTCAACCACTTGAGCAATATCCTTGAGCAAGGCCATTTCGATACCTCCACTCGGAACGTCAGCCCATCTACCGTGGACGGCCTGCATGACCGTAATAAACGCCGTAGGATTGACGTCGTCATAAGTGAGGGTCAAATGGCCGTTTTCCTTGAACCGGATGCCTTCCTCCAAGTCGTGCTCGAACAGAGCATAGAAGTATGGGGAGGCTTCCGCGAGGTGTCGCGAGCTGCAAAGTATCTCATACTGCCATCTGCCATTGTGGATGACCACAGTTACGTCGCTCTTATAGCAGAGCGTGTCTACAAACCCGTCGAACGGACTTAGGATGTCGAAGCCGCATTCAGGCCAGTGCTCCTCATCATTAGAGGGCTCTGAATCAGTGTCAGTCTCTGAATAGGAGGAAAGTGCATTGTCGGAGGAGGAGGAGTCCACGTCCTCTGGTGGGAGCAAAGATCCCGGCCATCGGAGGACAAACGGAGTATTGGGAGGGGTAAACATTATGCAAAGACTCACCTTTCTTGCGACTAGGCTTCGGATTCGGGTATCAGCTTGATTGAAAGAAGCAGTTGTCTTCATCCAACGACTGAGGGTTTGGTGTTGGACCACCTCATCGATGAGGAGCTTGTTGTCTTATATATAAGAGCCATATCTTCCTGCTACAAAGAACTGTGGTACGTACTGGAGATACCCAGGAGGTTGTATATCTGATGGATACATGTTGCAGGATCTTCGTCATATTTCATTTTACAGAACTGAGGTTTTACGAAAACCTCCTCAAATATAGTAAAGATGCGGAAACTGTGTGTATGTCCGAAGATCTCCGCCATGGCTCATTGTTCACAATTGAGGAAGAAAGACAACCTGTGATGCATTGAAAGAAGTTCTCAGTAAGAAGCACGATGTATGCAAAAGCATGATTGTCCAGCAGTGTAGGACCGAGATTACGAGACAATCAAACCGAACTGCTTCGCTTGTTGACCGCAGCGTCCATCTAGCCCGAATCAGGATCATGCTTGCTATCAATTAGCCTGGCTTTTCCGGCTTCGCTGACGATAAGAAAAATGCGGGGGTGGGGCACTTGTCGATGGCAGGGCGTGCAGCACTTAATCGCCTACCAGGCCTGCGACAATCCTTCTGGGCCTCAAGCCTTATTGGCGCATTAGAAAGTATAAGGTGTGCTCTTGTTTCATCGCGTACTGAAGGATATTCCAGGCAATTTGTATGGCTCAAGACACTAAACTCAGGGTGGAATAGCGCAGGGCTCGGAACGTCGGAAATGCGGAATGGCGGAATGGCAGCGCGCGCCCTGTCGCTGACGAGAGACTGAAACCCCCCCACCGGCTTATCGATAAAAAAGCTGTTCTTCCTTCTTCGCTACACAGGGTCTTTCTCATCCCAACGCCGTTGTACATTATTTAGATCTTCCTTTGATCGCTGGAAGCTGCCTGGCGCTTTCTTGCTTTGTGTTCCTGCTTCAATTGAGTTATAATCTTTCCTTTCCCCAGCAATCTTCGAGAGACGTCTTCCGCAGCGCCGAGTCCTTCCCCGCACATGGATCGCGAACAATTCAGAACAGCAGCTCATGCTGCGGTTGATGAGAGTCAGTCTTCGAGGACCCATGGGACACTGTTTCAGTACTAACTCCCAGCAGTCATCAATTACTTCGAAGGCCTCCCCTCCCAGCGTGTCCTCCCTACCGTCGAACCCGGCTACCTCCGTCCCTTGATCCCCGAGAACCCGCCGGAGCAGCCGGAAGAATGGTCGCAGATCCAGGCAGACATCGAGGAGAAGATCAAGCCGGGGCTCACGCACTGGCAGTCGCCCAACTTCATGGCCTTCTTCCCGGCGGGGGTCACCTACCCCAGCATCCTGGGGGAGATGTACTCGGCGGCGTTCACCGCGCCAGCGTTCAACTGGCTCTGCTCGCCGGCCTGCACGGAGCTGGAGACAATCGTGATGGACTGGCTGGCCAAGGCCCTGGCGCTGCCGGAGTGTTTCCTCAGTACCTCCGAGAACCGCGGCGGCGGCGTCATCCAGGTGACCGCCAGCGACACGGTGGCGACGATGATGATCGCGGCGCGCGAGCGGCGCGTGACGGAGCAGGTCGTCGCGGAGGGGCTCAAGCCGGATACTGTGGAGTACGAGGACCGCATGATGGAGCTGCGGCCCCGGCTGGTCGCCCTCGCTAGCAACCAGGCGCACAGCAGCACGGCCAAGGGCTCCCTGCTGGCCGGCACCCGCTTCCGCAGCGTCACCGCTCGGCTCGAGGATAACCTGGAGATGACGGCGGCGGGGCTGCGCGAGGTGCTCGAGCAGTGCGACAAGGACGGGCTGACCCCTTACTTCATCACCCTCGGGTTCGGAACGACCAACACGTGCGCCGTGGATCGGTTCGCGGAGATCAAGGCCGTGCTGCGCGAGAAGCCCCACTGGCAGCGGATCTGGGTGCATATCGATGCGGCGTACGCGGGAGCTGCCCTGGTGGCGGACGAGTGGCAGTACATCGCGAAGGACTTCGCGGAGGGCGTCGACAGTTTCAACTTGAACATGCACAAGTGGCTGCTGGTCAACTTCGACGCAAGGTATGGTGTCTGACACTCGTCGACCGTTTCGTGATCTGCTGACACTGCATGATAGCTGCCTGTTCGTTCGCAACCGGTTCGACCTCACCAACGCCCTAGACATCACGCCGGCCTACCTCCGCAACGAGTACTCCGACTCCGGCAAGGTGACAGACTACCGCAACTGGTCCATGTCCCTGGGCCGTCGCTTCCGGGCGCTGAAGATCTGGTTCGTGATGCGCAGCTACGGCCTCACCGGGATGAAGGACTACATCCGCAAGACCATCGGGCTCGGCGAGGTGTTCGCCGACTTGGTCCGCAGCCGTCCGGACATGTTCGAACTGATCACCGCGCCGGCGTTCGCGCTCACCGTGTTCCGCATCAAGAGCCCCAAGGCCGCGGTGACGGAGGGCGCGGCCGTCCTGCAGCCGGACGAGGCGTCGAACGCGCTGACGAAGGAGGTCTACGAGCTGATCAACTCCCGGGGCGAGATCTTCATCACGTCGACGGTCATCGCGGGCGTGTATGTCATCCGTGTCGTCAGCGCCAACCCGGCCGCGGAGGAGAAGTATATCCGTCGGGCGTTTGAGATCTTGGTGCAGACGACGGAGGAGGTTCTCCAGCGGGAGTAATTGAATAGACCTTGTATTCTTGTATAGATATCATAGTACGTGTTGGATACTTAGCAATAATTCACGATCGCGACGCCCTCGAGTCTAACTCAATCATTCGCAGCTCAACTTCTAACCACATATCAGGACCATGCACCCGTTCCCAAGACCCTTTTCGTAGTTCATCCAGTTTCTTCAGCAATCCTCCCTTGGATTAATCAAGACCCTCCCCCACCCCCTCCACACCCCCCGCCACCACCACTATGCCCTCCGCCGCCACCACAACCTCCTCCCCCATGATGTCCGCCTCCACCATGATGCCCCCCTCCATGATGTCCTCCACCACTATAATCCCCACCACCACCATCCACATAAACCCCATGCGCCGCATGTCGTCGCGGATAAGAGCTCTTCTTCGACGACATATTATACGACGAGGAATACCGCGCCGGAGGGGGGCGTTCGTCGCTGCGAGAGGAGAAGCACATCGTTCTGTCTCCGGTGATTTCGCTTAGGAAAAGGTGCTGAAGATTATAGTGTGGTTAGGAGATTCTATTGCGATCGGTATCTCGCGAGATTCTAGAGCTGAGGGGGCTGAGGCTTGTAGTATGTGTGAAGACTCGATCGTTGTGATTCTCTGTTCTTTGGTCTAGGAGAATGGAGTTGAGGTTGGAAAGTAGAGTAAATGAACTGCTCTTGAACCGTTGCGTTGAGCTTGTACCGTTGCCTTGAGTTTTGTCTTGGGGTTGTAACCATAAAGTGGGATTCAGGCAAAGCTGGACTTGTAGGTAGGAGGTAGGTGGCATTTATATCTATACTTCTGTGCTGCGCATGCTGCGTGCACTGCGGTTGCTGCGTTTGCTTCGTCATTCACCGGAATGACAGGGCAAGGCTGAGTTGAGTCATGGGTAGAGACGCGGCTACCTACAGTGAAGGAACAAGGATGAGCCTTGCGGGTATGACCCTCTCTGGAATGGTAGTGAATGTGGTGACGGCGATGCCGATCCACGAGGCTTGCTTGCTCTTCCCTGCGGTTGGCATCGGGGATGGTTGTGGCGCGGAGGTCGGGGTCGGGCACGGGGCGTTTGCCGGGGCTGTGCTTCCGGTTCGGGCTCGTGATGTCGGATACGAGGGTGGCATACTTTCTCTTCAAGGTGCTGAAGCTATGTGAGTGATTGTAATCTAGGTAGTTGGTGTGGGCGGTGGCGGAGCTGGATTTGTTTGAGGGGGGATTTGTTCGAGGGGTCTGATGTGGTTTGGCTGGTTGTTGACGGTTGTGGATGTTGGGATGGGTTCCATCTCAGTGTGATGTTCAGAGAGTTAGATATATTGTGATTGGAGGGCTTGTTATTTTCTTGTAGATGAGGTACTTTGTGTGGTATTGAGGATGCGCAGAGGAGGGGAAATGCAGGAAATCGCCGGATGCATTATACTTACCCTCTAAGCTCTTACTGGTGTAGTACATGCACGAGCGGGTCAAAGTAAGCGATTTGATCTCGATACCTAACATTCCATACAATACCTTATCTGATCATACTACCCGTCGACTATAGTTACTATGAGCATATCTGGGCACCCTTTGTTAGATAGTTCATTTCTCTACTCTACTTGGGGCTAGTCACACATTAAAAGTAGTAGTAGTTCTCATCCATGATATGATGGTGCGTAACTGTTGGCCGTCTATTACTGATTCATATACTCTGTTCTTGATAAACTAGTATACTTATATGAACTATATTACATATACTATATCATCTTTATATATAGAAGTAAAAAAGCTGTATTACCCTGATATATCCTAACCAGATATCTTATCACCAAAGCGGAAGTATACCAGTCCTGCAGAGAAAGTAACAAGAAGTAGTAGAAACATAAAGGAAAGCTAGAAAGACTTAATCCAGAAGCTTGATTCAGTAAAGACCCGGTATAATAAGTATTACAGCAGTAGTATTTATTCTGTTTCGGTGCTTATTCGAGTTAAAGTAGCTCGCGCAGAATAGGACCATTGGTCAACACGGGAATCGAACCCCCTGCTATATAAATAGCTGCCATGCGGCCGCCCAGCTCGGCCATTGACCTGCCAAAAGCCTCGGGGCAGACTTTTTTTGGAAGACCCCAGCGTTCACTACTAGGCCACCCTTGGCACTACTAGTATAATCGCGCTGCAAGTGCCTTTGACTATACGAATCACACAGAAGAAACAGCAGGTAGGCAGTGCGTAGATGTGGCATCTCTGGACTAAGCAGGAGAGGAGGCGCAAGTTCGTTCCTTCCACTATCTAAGGCCCTAGGGTCGGATCGACTCCTCATTGATGGGATTCTTTTCCTAGTCCCTCCTTCCTGTGGAATATGAAGATACACTAACAATAGGCGATGCAAGACTGAACCTGGAGATTGCAGCAGGTCCACCTCATCTTATGGACTTCTTACGGATACACAGTAAAGTACCTATTGTTCTGCTCAATCCTATCTACTCAGAAATCACTCGCCACGTGGATCTGCGTCCGTACAAGCGAAAGTAGCGGCCTGAGGCGTTAAGAAAAGTGGGGCCATGTTTTAGTTTCGAGTGCTACTGTACAACAGATAGCCGCGGTGGTGTAGTGGTATTAACATTGCAGAGCCCCCGTACTAGCCTTATGCTAGCGGTGTGGAGTGCAGATTCTGGGTTCGAGTCCCAGTCG